GCACGTTGGGATTGCTGGAAAGAAAATCCTCTTCCCTAAGCAGTCACTTTTGCTAAAAATGGATTTTTTAGCACATAAAAGAACCCATTAAAGGCAACTTCATTTTGAATTTGCTTCTCCCGAATGAATAATCACTAACTTCTACTCGAAATATCTATCAATCTTGAGGAGCTTCTATCAATCTTGGAAGAGACGCTGAAGTGGTCATTGTGGTCAACCGATGAACTAACTAGTGCGTTCCATAAGTATAAGGCCATCCTTGAATTTGGTATTTACAGGATAAGCAGCCAAACAGATTTCTTTCTGGCACCACCATTAGATTTATCACCAGCATACATGCTTTGGTTTACTCAACTTTTATATTAACACTTATATAGATTATTTTCGACTTTTCCTCCTTTATAAGTATAGGGTCACCCCCGACTCTACGAAGATTTCGAAATCGAGTGCAGCGGAATTTGCACTCGGAGGGATCCCTACAGGGGGACGGAACTTACGTGCGTCCGAGGGTGTGCGCGGCAAATTGCGTGGCGAAGTTCGTGGCGATTAGACCGAATTTAGCGCCTAACATGGGACCCAAATTGAAGTAGAGTCGATAAGTAGGATTAGCTGACCCTACTAAACTATTCTACTTCAAGTTTGTGCTCCAATAATGGGTTCCATAGTCGTTCGAATCATCACGCATTTCGCCGCGCAATTTGCCGCGCGCATGCTCGGACGCACGTATGTACCCATACCCATCACTATAGCAGAGAATGTGTCGAAAATATGTCTAAAAGTCATAAGCATTGTCTCGCTGAGGTCATTTTTTAGAAGAAAAAGCACAAAACCAAATTCTTCGTGATACAGGCTTCAGTATGAGGGCAACTGAGGAGGCAAATCGTAATCCTCAGCTCCGTTCAGAGATAATTGAAGACTTCAGAACGCCACGTGGATGGACGCCCGCGCAAGCTCACCGCGAACGACGAAAGGAGAATTCTGAGAACTGTTTCTAGCAGCACCTTGTCTATGAACCAAATTCTATCGGAGTTTGGTCTCTCGGTGTCAAAAACTAGAACGGTTTTGTGTAATCGATCCGCCGCACGCGGCTGTCGTGGACCATTTGCCTCGCTCGCCGCGACGCGAAGATCTCGTCCCGAGTGTGGTGCATTAGGAACGAAATGGTCGCGTCGCGGTGAGAGGGGCGTAGCGCGCGAAGGAATGTAGCAGGATGCAGCAGTAGGTAAGAAATACAAGAACAAAAGTTCTAATAATAGAATTATGCATAAAATAATGATCACATATGGATTGAGCTGTATGAAGAACGCTAGAGCTGTAATAACGGCGAATGAGTGGCCTGCGACACCCGCGTGCGGCGAATCGATTACCCAAAATCGTTCCTAACGCCCGTCTCCCTCTCGTCCCTACTGCACCGCACCTGCGGCGGCATCACTGTGCCCTAGTGTAGCAGTGTCCTAGATGATGGCATTATGCCTTGAGCAACGTGTCTTTGGTAGAGAAGGATGCAAGAGTGATAACCAACTTCCTTACTATCCATTTTTATATAGTCCAAAAAGTTCATACCGATTTCTAGGTCGACTTTGTGTGAAAATTTCTAAGAGAGCAAATACATTTATTGAATAATAAATTATCCATTCTGTATAATATAGTATATTTATAGTTTGACGATCCTTTTCGATTAACATTTCGCTTTGATCCTCTACAGCTGATGGTGGCCTCCCTGCGCGTTGCCGATCATCGAGCACCCTGCTTAAATCTCGCAAACCACTTACGAGCTGTACTTTCATGTAGAGCATCCTCTCTGTAAACGCCATAGATCTTTCTCGCGGTTTAAACTGATTCTTTGCCATAGAAGAAAAGCATTAAATGGCGAAAATGCAGGCGATTGTCTTCCATTTTCACTCAAGCCCTATACAAAGGAAATTCAAAAAATATCAACATTACCGTAGAAGAATATAGATTAAGACTTAAACTTTCAGAAAATATACGACTCTATGAGGTTATGCCAGTGATCTTTTTCAAAACACAACCCAATACTTATTAAATTCATGTAAGCAACTGAATCTGTTTAAAATTCACGTGACTTTTCAGAACTGAGTTATTCTACTACAATTTTTTTCAGGGCATATATGGGAGCTGGTGCTCTAGGGATTACCCTATCACGCGTTAATAGAATCCCAGGTTGATACGCCCCATGCCGACGGAGTTTTTCATCTCTCCAGGTGGGTTGATTTGTACCAGATTCGTCTGGAAGAATGTAAGCACTGACTTCGTTTCATAGACAAGCACGATCGAAATCCAAAAAAAAAACGGAGCTGATCAAACTCGAGACTTCATTCTTTGAACTTCTTCTTCAATAAGGAATAAGGAGAGAATTACTGTTTGTGCAGCCGGCCTCCAAGCGACATCTGTTCAATAACCAAGGTCATGCCTGCCATGTCCTTAACATCTATTTACTGCACTCGTCTACTGATATGTTAAAAATGCACAAATTTAGACGAATCCACAAAAATTACTGTGATAGTGAGGGTGCAACCGCGCTGGCAACCGCAGCATCACCCATGCGGAACGCGAATACTGGCAGGCATGCCCGCGGTCTAGTCTGCTTCGGATTCGTTGATCGTTCTAGTGGAGCCACTCGATCGAACAGCAACTTCAAGATGGAGTTGCCTAGAGGCAAAGGCGGACTCCAGGAGGTACCTACCTGGGATTTCGGGCCTGCTTTGGGAAAGACTCGAATAGTCTACGTCGCTAACCAAAGGTAGGAACAGCTTCTTTGGCGAAGATTGATCACGAGAAAATATTTTCAGGCCATGTGCGAATATCTCCCTATGGCTCAGTTAGAGCTCCGGAAAACATTACGTTTTATGATAGCGACTGGGGGGCACCCAATTGGTACTTGGGTCCTGCTCTGGAAAGGTAAATGTTGGCTAAGATATGGTCCATGCTTCTTATTGTTGGGTACAAAGGGGATTGAAGGATGAGATGGAAGGACACATATTGTATTCCCGGTCGCAGCTGTGTGAGCACCTTAGTAGGTGTTTTTTCTTAAGAACGGCTTGTAGGTGCTAAGTGATGTTCGATGTCCAACGAATCTCTTCCAGGGTTGTTCGGGAGTGATAACCCCCGAACAAGCCGGCTTAAAGAATTAGTGGGCTTAACTGGAACATGATAAACAGAAGTACAATGTGACGCAACTACCCGCCTTCGCTTCCTGTCCGTGTTCCTGTCCCAGCTACCCTTACCATGTCGATATTCAGTGACCGTAACGATCCCGTCACGAGGTAGAAAAGTAGCGATCATCCGTGGCCCCTCTCCATCAGTTGCACGTAAACACGTGCGATAACTAACAGATAGTGAATTCCCAGATAGCTCCTGGGAATCCGTTACAAACGAATTCTGTTCCCATCTGGGACGAACACTGATTAAACAGCCGAAATTAGTGAAGCTATGGACAGGAGTCCTCGCTAAGCACTTTATTTTACGTACATATTTTCTTCATATCCGTCGCTGTCTCACTGAAAAGTGCCCTCTGCTCGACCGATCTTTCCATTCATGTTTTTCGCTCGCGGTTTATAATTGTAAATCGATTATTCATATAAGTCGCATAGTCGTCGTTGAAAATCGATCTTCCGATCGAGGCAAAGGTGATGATGGTATCAATGCGGCTTACACTGTTTGTTCTGTAGGACACGGCTTGTACAAACCATCAAACTCTTCTCGCTGCTAACCCCACCTTTCAGTTATTTTACAATGAAATTGAAAAGTTTTTCTCCAAGTTCATTTCGAGACTAAAAGACTGAACAACAGAAGAAGGCTTTTTTGTGGTTTACTTCATATCTATATTTTGTGGTTATGTCGCTTAATCGCAGGTTACACCTCTCAGCGGACGTGGTGTTTACAATTTCAATGCCCGCTGACAATAAGGCACAAAAAAGATGTAGATGATCGGTGCCCACCTCTTTCAGCTGGAATATTCATGAGGTTCATAAGAAAATTTGTAAATGACGTTTTTATGCTTATTGGGATGAGAACATATAATAACTCGAAGTTCATCTTCAAACTACCGTTTCCATCCTCCGTCTGTGTTCTCATATAAGTTTTTTGCTATCAATTACTTGAGCATTTACCATTTATTTGTTTATTTTTAAGCGAGACAAACCCGCAACAATACTAAAATTGTAATTACACTATTGGCCGGTAGTAGGTGGGAAGACCGAGAATAACTCTGTTACCTAATATCGTGATAAGGGGGAGGCAGGGTGCATCTGACGAAGAAAGAGGGAGCCTCAGTGATGAATAAAAGTGGTCCGCTATATTGCCATTCGTACCAGCCGTCAAACAGCTGTAAATGCCATAAAATGAGGTCAAACCACCAAGTTACCTGGGTGTGTTACCTTGTAGTAGAATTGATAGAGATATGAGTTCCAAGTATTGATTTAAGAGTGATGGCTCTAAATCTTTCTTCGGACGCGGCTGGGAGACTTAGCCAAATTAGATTTCTCAGGAACAGATTTAAAGAATATGCCAGATCTGATCTCCAAGCCTAAGCCCTAGACTCTCGGATCGTGCTTCTCGATACTTCAGTGGTATAAGCAATTAATTGGCCTGCTTTTTTATATTTAATAGAAGCATGGTTTTGACGAGGGTGGGTGCTGGCAAGCGGTGCATTATCACGCACGCATAGCGAAGTCATCCATTCCTCTGGGCTGGTCAGCGATATCAGTGGTCTGGGAGGATAAAAGCACTTACTCGGGCATCGGCTGGCCACTGCAATTCACTGTATGGGCCACATCCGCATTCAATATTCAGAATGTATGTCGAAGGCTGGGTGCACCCTGGAACGGGATAGATTAACAACAAGATTTTCACTTCAGTTTCAAGTAAGGAGATGAAGTTGTAGGGATATGTGAGAAGCTGCTGCGTTCTGCCTTTCTGCCTCTATACTCGTTCGCAGTCGTTTTATTGCCATGAGGAATGAGAAAATGTGGTATTTTAGGATGGAGCTACTTCTTCTCCTCAGCGCTCTTTTCATTCCTGTCTTACCGTTTCTTGAGCAGCACATCGGTGTTTACGGTCGATTAATGTGTGGTGCTGCTCCTCTTTGCGGGAACTCTGTTCAGCTTTGGAGTAACAAAGTATTAGGTTTGCTTCTGTTAATTGCTTGCATTGCATGCATTGAACATTATTTTCAAAGAGTTGCTCTGGAATTTAAAAACTGTCTCTTCAGGAGTAAGCCACGAAATAGCCAGTAACACCACCGACGGGAACGGATTTTTTCGAATTCATGGAAACGAATCTTCTGTATTTCCGCTGAACTTGCGATTGAAGATTATGCATCATTGTCTTTCACCATCGGTGAACTTTCCCTAATTCTATGCCATTTTTCCCTTTCCCTAACATTACCGACACATCAAAAAATCCAACGTTGTGCAGTATGGAGACTGAGATGGTTTTAGATTTTACTACCGCCAGCGCCTTTAAATGAGAAAAACTCATCTCTGGAGTGGAGTGTTAGAAGGGAACAAAAATGTAGGGTTTTACGGTGAGGAATCCTCTTTCCATGAAAGCTGTGAAATAGAGTTGGGATTGTGGTGGAACAGAGAGATTTGACTTATTGGTGGAATGGTATTTCAAAACCTATTCGCTCCTACATATCTAACTTTTTTCCTTTCGAAGAAGGTGTCATTGGGAATGACAGGAGTATGGAATTTTCGCAGTATAAATGAGAACTATTATAGCTGTAGGCCATCATTTTGCGATGGCATGTAGTGGTCAGCCAATGCACGGGTCAGTATTTTTATTTCCCTACGCCAGTCTGGTTGAAGTACCTGACTCCGAAGGGATGGAAGGCTTGGCTGGTGTGGACGGGTATCGAGCCGGAATCCGATATTTAGACCGTGTGTGTGTGTGTGATAGTGCCCCCTCCCACTACACCACTTCCCACGTAAAGTTAGTTGGCAGCGACTAATTTCGGTTATGTTTTACTCAGTCTACTTCACAGTAGCTGAGAAAATTTACTTGAATGCATGATATCCTAGGAATCGAAATGAGTGACCTTTTGTTCATCAATGTTTATATGGAATTTGATCTTTAAATTGCAGCCCTGCATTCGGAAGTTGAATCTACCGTTGCCGTCTGAGTACATCTTCAGAGGGTCTGGTGTTTGGAAATGGTTCGATGCGGGACGCCTCAACTTGGCATATCGTTTTCCTAACGAGAAATTGTCTTGTCAAAATAAAACAGTAAAGTCATAAAGGTTGTTCGATGTCATTAATGATTTATTCCACGCCTGACTTCCTAGCGCTACACTGAAGACTAAGCGATCAGTGATGGGATCAGAAAATGCTTACGAGCGCTGAGTACAGATCTGCGGGAAATTTTTGCTGGAAAGGTGGAAGAGGAGGCTATAAGCTAAGGTTCGTTATTGTAGGTGCTGAAAAGAATTTATATGTAGAGTTGCTGGGTAAGTTACCTAACATTTGACTGGATGCAAGATACAGTGTGGGTTCTATCGGACTTTTCTGCCCGCAGATCCCCCATTCCTTTGAAACGATATCATCACAGTCTTCTTTCTCAGTATGGGTCATAAAGCGCCGCCTTTGCGCTTTTAGCCACGACCTAACTTCAGTAATGCCACCTTCAGTAACCATCGCAATCCTTTCTCCAAAGCACTGCATACCTTTTACGTTTTTGCTTCTCTTCCAAGAATCTGGTCACAAAGCTTGTGGATATCAATGTTGACTTGACATAACTATAGTAGCAAATTTCCGATTCACTTCAAATTATTGTATAAACCTAATGAGTGTCAGCGATTGCTCTCAGGGATGTGCTGAAATTCCAAATACGGTCATTGAATGACCGTCGGATGAAAGTTGTAGTCTTCATGAAAGGGGGATATGACAAACGCTCCGTTTCGATTCCGCCATGAATTTCTTTCGACTCGTTAACCCAATGCGTTCTAGATGAGAGAGGCTATAATTATCCAAATCTACGTTTTGCAAAATCTTGAAAGGGCTCCGTAGAGAGTAGTTCCATGCAATTGTGGTCACTGGTAACTTAGACATTTCTTGACGCGCAGGCTTTGTGTGCCTTTGGAAATCTACTTCTATGAAAGACGGATATTTGGAGCTGTGGCAAAATATGCAAATTGTCTAGGGAGTGTTTTCAAGTGTAGGATTGATAGTAACAAGATGAATATTGGGAAGACAATGAAGATCAGGCCTCATTAACCTTTGGCTATATAAACTTTCCTGCATAATCCACTAAAACTAACTCCAGTCCGGCGAGTCGTCAGGAAAACATGGCTGTAAATGACTATATTGGATGAGTTTGAAGATATTGAAATCTTTCGATTGATTCTGTCAATTCTTTTAGAGTTGCAGACTACTTGTCTTCTAATCAACCGGTATGCACTGGATCAGGAGGGGAGGAAGACAATGATGGTCCCGTTATATAGGAATAGAGGATCTGTGGGGCAATGAACGATGTATGGACTCCATAGCTATTAACTCTTAGGATATTTCAGAAGAAAATGACAAAGTTCACATCACTGCTGTAGAAAACAAGTGATTTATTCCCTTCTTGGCATTCACATTAGTTTAAAAAATGATATTCAGGAAAGAAATTGCAAGGACTATTGCGTAACATCTACAAATCTACTTCAGAAACTTATTAACACACGATGTGCTAAAATTATGGCAAAGTGAGCAACATGTGACAAGACAAGTACATTAATGTGACTCGAAATGAAGCTGCTTTCATCTTCCAGCCCACCCCACAACCTGGCACGCTTTAAAATAGGTATTGATTTTTTGCGCGCCAACAATCGACTCGCGGTCTTGAATCACTGTTAGTGAGAGGCCGAAAGATAAAAGCAGTCCTTTGAAAATCTCAGAGTAGCCTAAATCGGAATTGTCAAAGGAAGAAGAATAGAATAATGAATAATGCATGACCTGTTTTGAATGGATGGGAATTTCATCTAGGGTAGAGGAAACCATTGGAGCATTTTGTACATACGGCAGCTTGTAAATAACAACAAAACAAAGGAGGAAATATCAATAAAAGGTGAAAGTGAACTGTTAGAAGCCTTAAGTGAATTTAATATATCACATTTATAGAACCGGAGAAAGAGATATAAAGAGAGCGAGAGAAAAACGATTTGACCAGTGAAAATTTAATAGCAAGAGGTTAGGATTAGCAGAGGTGAGTATGGAATTCACTCAATTGTCAACTACGACGGCTGATGCCAATAATATCGTCTTTATTATTCAGGCAAATGTCGTGAACCGGTGATTTCATCAGATTTCTGAAAACATAGTACTGAATTGAAATCACGAGAAATCTGCTCGTCTTCATGGATCATCTGCCTACTTCTGAAAAGTTCTCAGGGTTGAAAACAACCTATGTTTTGTTTTTTTAGTCCCATTAGATGTTTACAAATACTTTTGAAGCGGCTTTAGTCCCGAATGATGCCGATGTAAATTTGCTGTGCGTTACCAGGGGCATACCTCCGCAAGAATCGGCAAGAAAGCCTTTCAGTAAGAATAGAGGAGCATTCGTCCCTCGTTTCTTACCCAAGACTAGGCTGAGTTACCAGATTGAAGAAGAAATAATGTTTCTCTGAATCTCTGGACTCCATCTCCCTCTTAAGAGGAACAGTCGAAGTGGCCAAGTGAAGCTAGACAGATGCACAGCACTCCCACTTCTCAAATTTCAAAACCGAATTATTGATAATAAATTATCAGGGGACTTTTGAATCGTAGGAGCCCCCAAATATGCGAATTTGGGTCGATTACTGCCCTAAACTGAAGGAAGACTGTCTTCATCATTGCTAATTTGGGTTGGATTCTTCACAGCGTACAGCTAATTTTTCATGACAGTCGACACGATTTGTGGTATGTGCTCCTTGTCAGATTGTATCAATTGTGATCAGTCTCAATAGAAAAGGTTCAAGAAGATCATAAACGACCGAACTGCAAAGCGTCTACACAGATTTCAAGCGGAAAACTGTCGTAGCGGGAAACTACCATATCCTTCTGCATCCACCCTGTAACCTACAATTCGCTCCAGATTTTAATCCCACGACAGAGGAAGAATTCTACCAATGATAGGAAAAACTAAAGAAATCTGAACCACAGACTGGTTTTCGATAGCTGAGTTGGGCCCAAGGGATCGACACCGTAGTGGATCGATGGGAGGACAAAACTGATTTGGGGCGTGTAGTTTGACCCAGGTACTATCTGTTACGGCAAAGCAGTGCCTTCCCAGGATTCTCAGTAAACTTTCGAAGGGTACTACATTCAGGTCAGCTTCGAAAACCATATTCTTTACAAAATGTGATGCTCTATCGCCAATATTGAAACCATCCAATCAAGTTTGCCAAGTCTTTTCCCACAGGAAAGTACCCAAGACGAGCTAAGCAGCAGTTTCCGAAAATCACTTACATTTACACGTATCTCATCGTTACATAGTACCCGTAAGCAGCAGGAAAGAGCAGAGAATGGGCGTGGTTTGTTTTCAACGGCATTTGATAGTTGTCGTCGTTGTAATACACGAGATGGACGTATCGTATTCACGATGGCAATCAAAGTAAAGCGTGGTACCAGGCATAATACAATAGACAGTAGAACTACCTGAAATTCCTCAAAATAATTCTGAGGGCAGTAGACTCGTAGGCAAAACTCGTGCTCACCAGCCAAAATAGCGGATCAATCATTGCATGCTGAGCAATATATACCGGAGTGTCCTTCACACTTGTCCATGTCCAATCGGGTGTGACAAAACCGTTATAGAGCAAGGCACAGACGAAAAATGATAGCACCGACAAAATCATTGAAAATAACATCGGCCATGTCTGGAATTGACCGGGGTATAAGCCCACTGAGGAGGGCTCATCAAGTACGTAGACTCACCCAGTACTGAAGAAGAAGACAAAGATGAAGGGTGTTCACAAAAAGAAGCTGTGCACACATCACCACACCGAATGTCCACATATCGCAATCCGTATCGATGTAGGTCTGCAAGTTGGGCACATTTAAAATGCTTATACATATAAAGCCGTACTGAAAGGCTTTCTGCGACTGACAATAAAAACCGAATATTCCCAATTTTTCCCTTATTTTCTGTGTTATCATTGAGTTCTTTCATTGATATTAGTCCTGAACCTTCTTGGCCACTGCCTGTTTCTTTATGCAAATTCAAAAGAGATGAGAGAAGAACGGTGACGGTACGTTTCGGATTTCTAACTGACGGCTACCATGGGTTTTATACACAACGCCTCTCTTCCAGAAACGTCGAAGAGGTTAACATTAGATCTTGATGTCAGCATAAAACGAGGGCCAACGGCACTCTCACCCCCGTGGACCGAGTCGGGCAAAACTTTCGCACGAGCCTGATCCCACCTACTCAAACTAGTCTGAACTCTCGGGAAAACTAGCCTCCATTACAATCTTTACCAGATCAATCCAGCTTTTCCTTTTTTAATATCGATGGATAAATGAGACAGCAACAGAATGCTACCAGCTAAGCAAGATAGTCAAGAAGGTATGGTTACTTCTTGCCTACAGGTTCAAAATACCGGCGTTACCAAATCAGATGTAGTGAAGGTAGCCATTGAGGATCATCCTATTCCACCTATGTTTATGTTTGCTGTTTACATTCGGAGCGCATCGCTAACTATGAATTGACCCCATTCTCATCTGTTCAAGTAATTGTTGTATTCATTATTGAACATTGATAGTGAATTAAACTCACAAAATGGCATAGAAAGTAAACGACAGCGCTCTGCCAAAGGGCGTCCAACATATTCAACCAGAAGGAGTACCAGCGATACTTCTGAAGTGATTAAGTTAGAACTGGTTCAAGCTCAACTTCAGCACTTTCTGATACTCATCATTCCTTATTACATACAAGTAGGCTTCAAAAGATCCCTCCAAACAACCCCAAATTCAAAGAAAGAAAACTAAGTGTAACTGCTTCTGACCTTTCCCAGCCGACCCTGGTCGTAGAACTTCGGAACATCCAGAAGTATGTCCGCTGGAGCATCCTGCTCCAGGCAGCCATAAAGAAGAGCAGGAACTGAAGACGTAAAGTCAGCAATATGAGAGAGCATCGGTTAGATGAGAAAACAATACCTGACGTAAATATCAAGTTGTATACCATAAGATAAATAGGGTCAATAGGTACTTGTGAACTAAAGCCGTTAAAAATTTGATACCAGAAGATTGTGAACACGAACATCTGAAGGTAAGTCAGTCGGTAGCGTACCTCTGAACTTTAGACGATATTATGGAGTAAAACTTACAGCATTTTTGTAGAAAAAATAAAGAATTGTCTGGGCAAGTCGTTGATAACACCAGTGACCGTGGACGAGTAAAAGGTTAGCGAGAAATCGGAACCTCGCCATAGCGAAATCGCTAGCCATTACCGCTTGCATACCTTCTTGACCAGACAACCCAACACCAACGTCAGCACACTACAAATAGCAATCGTAACTAAGGAAGTAAAAAGATATTTAAAAAATTCGAAAAATTCGGAAAGGGGGGGCAAGCGCTCCACAAGAGTTTGGCCTTCCTTTCTAAGAAGGAGCGAAAAAAAGATCTCGAAAGAAAGGAAAAGAACGAGTGTCGAGCAGGGATTCAATCCTCAGGTTATGCGAGTTTCAATTTGAGCTACTTGCACTAGAACACAACACACAACATAAAACTATCAAGAGTTGCTACTAAAGGTGAGTAGATTAGGAGAGGCCATTTGAAGAGCAAAACTGGAAAAAAATGTGGTACCAAATAGATGTCGACAATGAAGAAGAAATAATAAATATGAACTCACCTGGATCATTGAAACGTCGTTAGCCCCGTCTCCGATAGCCAGAACTTTTCCTCCGAGACGAGTTTTCGCCATTTTTACCAGCGAAGCCTTCTGTATTGGGGTCGCCCGACAGCACAGTACACTGCGACAACTGAAACAAACACTTCCACTTCAATCCACTCCCACCACTTTTCCATTTTCTATTCCTCAAATCAAGTCTTTGGCTATTTTCTACTACCCTGTAACACAAAGTAGTAGAGGGCTAATCTCGTTGGAAGTAATCCAGTATCAGGCTATCATTTCGCGATGCATCTATGAAAGTTTTCAGCCAGTATCAGTAATAATGGCCAGAAAGGCCTTCCTTTTGGTATAGGCATGACGAAGGGGACTGACCTTCTGAGTAGTTGTACGAAGCGTTGCTCGTTATGAGGATCGAAACAGTAATCCAAGCATGAAGCGTTCAGTACCAGACCGAATGCAGCTTCTTCTGTGATCTGACCTGCTCGGTTGACTCTGTAAAACAGAAGCTCGCTAAACGAATATGTATATCAAAGAAAAACGCGATTGGAAGAGAGTGGTAAAGTTGATATCCTTCATGTTTGTGTTTACATATGGAAAATAATTTGCAAATCGAATTTCATCCTGAACATATGGCAGTCTATACGAGTACGTATGCAAGTTGGGGGCATGGGAAAGAGCGCGTGACAAGGATTTCCTTCATTCAGCAGCAAGGCTTTCTCCAAATTCAAGGACTGCCAGAAGCACAAGGCATTATTACCGACTTGCTTGACATAATTTTACCAACATCCGATATTTTCATCCTTCTACACTCGTTCTCAACCCTCATATAATCTCCTCACAAACACTGTTCTCTTCTACCGTCACTGCGGATTCCCTGACCCGAGCTCTTCATCTTAAGAAATCTCGTGGACAAGACCCACAACCATATCCGTAATCAGCGCTAGTGCAATACTGTTTGTGTTGGGATGGTTCAATTTCTGATAACTTGCCACATTATCACACCTAGCACACACCGTACTCATTCCCATACAAAAATTGGAAACGTTTCTCTTCTCCCCACCCGAAAAAGTTGTTTTTTCCATAACTTCAAATCTTCATAATTTCATGATTTCATGAGTGAAGGAACGTTGTATTAAGCCGTGTTTACCTTTCCAGGTGCTCATCCAATAAATCAGAAACTGATCGGACTCCATTGGCACCAACGTTTAGAATGTCCATTGCACTCGAGAACAACCTACAGCAAAGTAATTCCGAATACTTTTTGAATGTCACAGGTTTTCGAGCCCTTTAAAGATGAAGAAGGCTGAATTACCGAGAAGAAAATGCTATGTTCACAGCCGTTTCAACTTTGTCACCAGTCAAAAGCCATACACAAATGCCGGCCTCACGTAGAAGATGGATGCATTCAGGTACTCCTTCCTGAAGTCGATCTTCTATAGCAGTCACACCTAGAAAATAGAGAACGTTTAGGGGAGCACGGTGAAAGGTTTTCCAAATAGGACGCGCAATCTGAGGACAGCTCACCTAGCAATTCGACATTTTGCTCTGCTTTCAGTATGCTATCCCGGATCAGATTTTCACGATGATGAGGATCAAGTTCGGCTTCTTCATGCAGAGCGCGCCATGCCTACATAAATCAGATATTTACTAATGCTTGATTACATATGGTCTCAAGAAGCCCTACATGGTATTCTTCTTCACTCAAATACTTCTTTGCCAGGCACAGAGTTCGTAGACCTTCCTTCGCATAGTCGGAGAGATGTTCTTGAGCCTGAACAATGATATTCAGGTTACCGTGCAATAACACAGGACAGGATAGGGTGGGCCTTACCTTAAACACTTCCTCCTCTCCAACTTCAGATGTGATATACTCATTGGCCAGAATTGGAAGGACACTGGCGTCAGCACCTTTCGTCAACAATATAATCCTCTTCTTCCCCGTGCACTCCTGTACAATCACGGACATTCGCTTGCGATCCGAGTCAAATGGCAGGGTATGAAGTAGCTGAACGAAGGTACCTTGAAGATTGTTCAGCAGAATCACACAGTAATAACTTCCAACCTTGTATTTCACTATCTGTCCACTGGCCCTTATATGAATGTTCACTTCATCGAATCTTCGCCTCAACAGTCGCACACCATATTCCCTTGCAGCTTCAACAAGAGCGAGCTCATCAGGAGATTCCGAGTCATAATAGGAATGGAGTGGAGCAGTGGTGTCAGATGAAGACTGTGATTGACGCTTGTCCACAGATCTGAATGGGAAAAGGCAATGGTGCATGATGAATGTAGGCGAAAAAGAAAGCGCCTTAAGTGTCTGGTGTGGATCAGTTGAGGTTTAAAGGCACAGTTCGCGATAATTCAATGGGCGGGTTGTCAATGACTTGCCCACCTCTCATTCGATGTCACGTCAGACTGTCTAACGTGACATCGAATGAGAGGCGGACACGTCATTGACATACCCGCTCATTGAAATATCGCGAACTGTGCCTTTAATAAGGGAATCAAGACATCAAATCATTGAAGATCCCAATGTTGATGAGATTTGATCGAATACGAATAACATATCATGGTCTAATCGAGTACATTTTAAAACATAGATCGAATCCTGACAGAGCGCTTCCGCCACAGGAACGGGCCCCATGGGCTCCACGAGGCATCGAAAGTTCCGACAATTCTACGTAGGTGTAAAATGATTAGGAATAGTCAGGCAATCGAAAATGATGGACAGGGTGATGACAAGCCTGTAATCCTTGTATAACCTGCTGAAGCCAGGCAACCTCCGCTTCGCAGCGCTGCACATCCCTTTTGCTTTCTTCCTTTCTTTGTACGCTGCTACACTCCTCCTGCAGTAGACCGGAAGTTTAAAGAAAAAACGGAGATGCACTGAGTCACAGGCACGATCGAAAACAAATAAGAGGTGTGATTTAACCTAGCACGCAGTTAGTCATCGACGCCATTCCATTTCTGTAAGCAATCGGCTCCAGTTTCGGAAAAGTGCTTTTTTCGTAACCCAAAAAACGGTTAACTAGTCTGGCAGCGAGCCAGATTCATTATGGATGAGCGAGCCACATTCATTATGGATAAAAGACTTAAAAAATACCTCTACCGCAAGCTCTCCTGTCAGAGTTAGGCGAATGGTCATAACTCATCAGGAGCTTACTTAGAACATATGGGACCATTTCGCAGACATGAGAGGACGGTTTTCATCATTTCCAAAATGTTGTACATCTTGTACATCATAATTTTGACCGATAAGGCATCATGCCACCAATCTTCCTTTCCTTAGACTTCCGCCCACTTGTCCTTGGGATTTTGAAAAAGTAACAGAGATGGGTAGACCTGCTTTGCAGGCAAATTTGGGGAGAAATTTGGGGAGATTGTCGTAACAGCAAGGGAGGATACTGCATCGCGCTGGAATCAGGCCACGAATCACATTATCCTATAATTTTGTATGTTACCATATATATGGTCAAGGACTCACCTTCGGAACGGGCTAAGCTCTTTGATTCCTTTGAGACGTGCTAGACTAAGTAGAGATGGTCGATGCAGGATACCCGGTATACTGGCCATGCTCTTCAGCGAATTCTGTGAGCTCTTCTCCTTGATTTCATTGGAGACGATTTCCGTAACACTTGGCACTGGTGGAGAGTCATCCTACAAAAGAAAAGGTGCTCATAAAAGCTAAAGTGGTCACCTGAAGGGGCCTACCTTGTCGTCGTGGAGATCTATGAGCTCAATACTTTCCCGAGGGCTCTTCAATCTTTGACCGGAAGGAACTTCTTCCTCCACTTCTTCAAGGAACTTGACGCTCAGCGGTGAAATCGTGAGCCTTTCAGTGGTAGTATCTGATTCTTCACAGCTGATGTCAATCATATCACCATCAGGATCCATGAGATCCTGAAAAAGAGGCTTCTAGGTGTTCCGCCGTTCGAATGGACGAGACAGGGTTCATTCAGCCTTTTCTGAATTTTTGTGGCAAAGAATTTCCAATCGTAACCAAAAGATGGAAATTTGGCAATGCATCGTTCTGAGCATTATTGCTGAGAATGTCCTACCTCATGAGGTTTTGCGTTTACCACAACGGTATTACAGATGGCCATTGTGAGAAAAAACAGATATATCTGATTGTCCACATCAGCTTCCCGAACAGCTCGACTCAGAAGAGCCTCAAGGCCACGGTCCTTCGAAGGACGCGGCCGCCCAAGCCGATCATCTGGTTGGTCTATAGCTGCAGCTACGGAATGCCCACCGAAATCTCGTCCTCTCAGTGAGCAACGGCGAAACACCATCTGGAAGGAGGACTTAAAAGTCACCAAGATTGCATCTTCTGCTAAAAACTGAGATCGAAGTGGACGTAATAGAAGCGAATGTGAGGAAGAAACAAAGGAAACAGATTCAGTTCAAAAATTCCACATTCGCTTCAGGAAAACCATGTTTTTTGAAAAAATATTATAAATACGATTGAGAGAGGACGTCATTATCTTTGAATACCTGATTCTCTGTGAGCGTTCCGGTTTTGTCGGACATGACATATTGGACTTGGCCGAGTTCTTCCGGAATGTTCAAGGCTCTGCAAGCAGTACAAAACTGTAAACACCAGGATAAATAAAAAACGGGACCTATTGAGCAAAGAAAGCTAGGAACGTATAACGGTCTCTTCGAGCAGTACGTAGGTTGCCTTTTATATTTTGAGATTTGAGAACCGAAACAAATACTATTTATTGAAAACCGGTTTACTGCCTTTCAAAAATCTCCACATTAAGATCTATATACTTTTGTATGGGCTCGAACCAATTTTCGAAGCACTTTTGCCACTCTGATGTAGGTAACTCTAAAACATGGATTCTGAACGCATCAACGGCTTCTTCAGGTGTCGAAAAACGTTGACTTCCCATTTTATTTTTTACGTACGGGATGAGATGAAGTCACATGGGGACTACATGGC